TAAAGCTTATATTTAAAGCTTAAAACTTAAAGCTTAATTAATAAAAAAGATATATATATTTATATATTTATAGTTTTTAATAATTATATTAAGTAATACTACTAGTATACTTAGAGTTATATAAGAAATTCTTAAAATTTTATAGCTAAGCTATTATATAAATTAAATTAGTATAAATAAAGAATTTCTCTAGTATTTTTTTTCTTTAGCTATATTAAATATAGTATTTTTAATAAAGTTTTTATATATAGATTTCTATTTAATAAGTTTTATAGTAAGTTTATTATTATACTTAAGTAGGTTTTTATACTATTCTATTAAAATATTAATTTACTACTATTTATTTTTTATATTTATCTTTAAGATATTAAAAAGATTATTAAGCTAGTTAAATAGCTTTTTATTAACTTATTAAAAGCTTTTAATATTCTTTTAAGTAACTTTTTCTTTTTTTTCTTCTTTTAAGATAATATTAATATTACTATTATAATTAATACTTGAGTTTTTTAAAAAAGAAAAAGTAGTAGTAGGAATTATAGAAGCTATAATAACTAATTTAAGATATTACTTAGGTTAATATAGTAATATATTAAATAAAAGCTATTAATATATAATAATTAAGTTTAATTTAAAAATATAAAGTAAGTTTAAATATAAGATATATAATTTAATAAATTAAAATATTATAATAAGTAATATAAATTATAATTTAGTAATAGTAAAATAGTAAATTTAATATAATTAAGTATATTAATAACTACTAAAGCTATTTTACTATAAAGATATTAAAAGAGTATTTATATATTTAATTAAATTATAAAAATTATAATAGTAATTTTAATAATTTTAAATTATAAATTATAAAAATTATAATAGTAATTTAAGTAATTCTTTATTTAATTAATTTTTATATTAAAAATTACTAAATTATAAAGATAATTTAAGTAATTTTTTATTAATTAAAAAGAAATAAAAATAAAATATTATAATTCTACTAATTATAATTACTTAATTTTAATTTAAATTATAATATAAATATATCTTATTTTATATTTCTTAAGCTTATTATTAAAAAATATATTAATAAGTTATAAAAATTTATATAACTAAATATTTTAAGAAATTTATAATATTTATAATTTTATTTAATATTATTAAATAAATTAAAATTATATAATAATTTTAAATAATAAAAATAAATAATAATAATAATTATATTATTATAAAAATTAATTTTATAATAAAAAAATATAAATAATTAAATTTTTTTATAAAAATAATTTTAATTTAATATTTAATTATTAATTTTTTTAAATATAATAAATCTCTTTTAAAAATTAATTTTTTAAATTATAATATAAAATTAAAATTAAATATCTCTTTTTTATTTATCCAGGGAAATCCCTAGCTATTTAAATATCTATTTTCCAGGAAATTCCCAGGGAAGATTTCCGCCCAGCTTCCCAGGGAAATCCCAGGGAAATCCTAGGAAACTTTCTTAATAAAAGAGGCTGAGTTTCTTAGAGCTTCCCAGGGATTTCTTAAGGAAGGTCTGTATATATCTTTCCCCATACTTCCCGGAGATATTCCTTTAGGCTCTTTAGAAAATATCTGCCAGATTTCTATAGTATAACGAACGGGTAGGTTGGGACGGGCACGGAGATTTTTAGCCCAGATGAGGTGTCGGTCTTGGTGACCCGTTGCGCCTTGGCCGCGCGGTTTTGCAATCGTTTAAGCATGGCACTCGCCCGTTTGTTGCTCGGAGTTGTGAATGGGTCTTCCTGGTCGGTGCTCGGCTGCTCGTCGTTGAGGCTAGGGAAAATGATGGGAATTGGGCGGATGGTGCGGTTTCCGGTGCTGGGAGTCCCATGCAGGTGAGTTCCCAGGACGGGGGTTACAGGCGCAGTCTTCTTTGGGAACTTGGTGTAGACGACTTCGAGGAATTTCTTGGCCCGGCTGGCTCCGCCTGCGGCGCGGAGGATCGTTCTCGCTTCCTCCTAGGCAGCGGTCATCTCCTCCTGTATCTCTGCCGCATACTGTCTTTCTATGGCTTCGGTGAGGATTGAGTACAATTCGGCGACTCCGGTGCAGGTTCCGGCAATGTCATTGCTGTTGGGCATTCGCAAGCCGTCCATCCGGGTCAGGGCTGGGTGGACTTCGTTCGCCGTGGTCGCGCTGGTGTACCGTCCCCGTTCGTCACGCGCTGTGGTAGGAGGCGCCATGTTGGAAAGCTCGTCGTCGGAATCTGGGATTTCAATCTGTGTTTGCCGACGCACCGAGGATTGGGCGGTAGGAGCTGGTGATTCGGTCCTTCCGTGTCGCGGTCGGGGCGTGGATGGTGGAAATTCGAGGGGCTCAGCAATGTAGGTTCGTACTGGGGGAACGACTAGATTGCGGCTGTCCTCCGGATGGTTGTAATGGTAGATTGCTCGGTTGCCGCGAAGTTCCACGAACCCTGCAGTGGGATTGTATCCCTCGGATCGCGCGCGGCTCCGGAAATCCTGGTATTGCTCCGGGCAGTGTCGTGTCCACTTCTTAAAGTGGTAGGCTTTGGCTGCGTTCCTGAGTCTGTTTTCGTTTCCGTAGAGCTGAAGCGCGCGTCAGTACCCCACATATTCCAGTTGCGGGTTTATCTTGGCGACTTGGCTAGCGAAGTCGTGTCGGAACGCGCGGTCGCGCGATGGGTAGGGGTCGGTGTTTGGCTCAACGTCAAATGCCCCGCGGTCTGGCATGTTCCTTGGGATGTGACCAGGGAAGAGGAAAATGTGCGGGTTTCTTAGTGTTGACGGGAGGGAATGAGGGAAAGGCGGGCGTGCGTTTACCTCCGCGGGGTTGTGTTGATGTGTTGCACCGGGGGTTTCCCCGGCGACCGCGTCGCGCTATTGTGTTAGGTTTTCCCGTAGTTCTCCCGCGCGGGCTTCCCTGGGATTTCCCGAGGTCATCCCGGACATTCGCTCGATCAGTGGTTCTGCTTGCCACCAGCCATGGTGACGTTGTAACCTCGATGTACAAGAAGTTCCCCAAGGCCACACAGCCTGCGACTCTCCAGTTGGGGACCAACCTGCGCGGCGCTCGTCCCGCGATCGTCCGCGATAATACAGCCATTCCCTTCAGCCTCCCCGGCTCCTCTGGCGGCACTTACCCATCGCATGCCAGTAAGAACCTGTTTACCACCCCGAAACCCGGTTGTGTAATAAACCTCCTGGAATAGTTCTAACAGCAATCGGCTAAGGCACTCCGCATCGAGACATCGCCATCGTCAACTGGCCTTAAGATTTTCGCCCTAGTATACCCATCATCTCAATGTGGAGATTCCCGGCAACAAGAAGCGCTGCTACGCCGTCGTAGCAGGAAGCAAGTACATAATGTTCCCGGACTGACGGTGCGTATAGGACTTTGCCGATTTCCACCTGGCAGCTCAAGACCAGATACACCCTCAAGTCTCCCTGTAACAGACGGCCCTTTTTCCGGGCATTTCCCGGGGATTTGTCGTGAAGATAGATAACCCTGTGGTTCTGCCCGACGTCTCCTCCGACATCTTCCAAGAGCTCGCCATCGACATGGCCAAGAACCCTGTTTTCTCCGACCCGGCACTGCTCGGTCCACGCCTCCAGGTAGTATTAAAAACACTCGGGAATGCCGACTAGAGCACCCGCGCGTATCCTCCTACCGACATTCAACGAGCTAATCGCTACACCTCGGGCTACGGATCCGGCAAGCCTGTCGCCATCCGCCACACCTTGTCGGGCCAGGCCGGCCCGCTGGGACCAGTCCCGGCAAATGGGGACGACCCCTCCGACGTCACTGTCCAGGAAATCGCCTACGACACTGCCGGAAACGTCACGTGGGACCGCTGGGGCACCAACCTCCGCGATGGAGGCGTCTGACCCGTATCAACCGGGCTAAGTCCCGTCAAGGGCACCAGTGTGTAGGAATGCAGGAGGGGTACAGGGAACAATCGGCTAAGCGGCCGGGTGAGAACGGCAGTTGGACATCGGGGGCAGATGGCGGAAGTCCGCCGGGAAGGCTCATATTATGATGTATGTTTCTTTTGTAAATAGCTTTCCCAAGGGGAGTCTATTGGAAAACCCTATTCATTACGCCTCTTCTTGAAAGTGCAGTATATGGTGGATTTCCTCCTCTACTAATACCACTCCTTTTGCATATATATAGTCGCTCGTCCACAACTACATATACGCCTCTCTGTTATTAAAGTAATCTAGCTGGGTTAAGGACGTATAGTGGGCAGTACTCTTTCTTTCCTCCCCGGGGTAATTATTACAGATTTCCCTTGGAATAACTATCGAGAAGTCCCTGGGACATGTCCCGGGCACTCTCGATTAAAACTCCTTATTGACATCTTCCTCGGCTATATCCCATTTAATTACTCCATCCTCCCCAAAAATACCAAATTTATCCTCATCCTCCTCTGAGTCCCAACCTTCAAACGTATCCTTATTATCCTCTTCATTTAGCATCTTAACTCCCACAAGTTCTAACCGAGCATTAAAAGGCCTTGGCTGAATACTCTCATCTGCCCATTCCAGAGGAATTTGTACATCAAGGAGTAAATCCTTCAACATAGGGTAATAAGACTTATGGAAGTTAGACTTGAAGTAATTGCTTGATGACGTCTTGATAAGAATATTATTCTTCTTATTGATACAGTCTATAAGTCGGGTTGGAAGTAGCGGCCAGCCTGTAAGCATTTGTCGCCCATGTACCCGGTGTATAATGGTGAATCTAAGAGGGCTATTCGGCTCAATACTGAGTGGCAGACCTAAGAACTCAGTATACTTAGCCCTCATTTTATATTTAACCTCTAAGTCTTCGACTTTAACAACCATATTGCCAACACAGACTTAGAAAATACACTCTAGAAAGAGAGTAACAGTAGTATCCTCAGTAAGCCAATACTAGTTACAGAGTATAGTCATCCGGTATTTCCTGTCGTACATCAGATGGAAGCAGTTGGACCAGTTCCAATTCCAAGGCATCGTAGGCATTGTATCCGGATGCGCAAAATAAGGGCAGCCATCGGATGATCGGGGAAGGTAAACACCAGTCCACTGCTCAATCTCCTCAACAATCCGGATAATATGAGGCTGATAATCCTCCCACTCAGAAACCAGAGTCGCATTCATGCCAGGACGAGTTGTGAAATACTTCACTGGTACTTCCGTTAAACTTCCGGGGCGTATCTTTCCAGAGACCCATTCCTCTTTTAGATAGTCAACCTACTCCGGGCTTACTTGAAGGTGGAGGCGAGTCTTAAGACTCCTTGGTGTCTTGCGTCGAATAGCTATAAGTTGTATACAGTCTGCTACCAGGTCCTTTCAGATTTGCTTGAGCTCTACTATCTCTGCTAGTTGCCCCACCTAGATATATAACTCTAGTACTAGGAATTGATAGTAATATACCGAGAGCTTAAATAAGAAAATGGGAAGGTTGATGGACTTCAGGAAATTTAAAGCTACAGGCATTAGAGCAAGATTTCCTATAGCATGAATAAGAGCATGGCCTAAAGAATATAGAGTAAAAGGAAAGACGGCATCAATACTCATCATATCAGGGCATTTTCCTTATAGGGGAGGCTATAAGTTTCTTACAGTAAACTAATTAGGGTATGATATGCCCTGCTCATATTTCAATAGGTTAGTAACCCATTGCAATATCTCTTCCGCAGCATCCTGGAAGATGGCTTTATTTAATCCATTACCATATCGCCCTTGCTCGTAATTGCTCGTTCTATTAACCTGGATAATGCCGAGTCTCTAGCAAGCTGCAAAAGGTAAGTACCCCCTATTTTCGCAGCGCTAACACGCTCTAAGGCCTAATATCAAGTAAAGCTAAAGAAGAGCACATGGTGTCGTAGTACCACATAAGCCATAAAAGTAAGTTAAGTTGCATTCGCCAGGAGCGCTACTGCAAAAGCTCGCTAGAGTCTCGCCTGCGAAAATCTTCTTGTTAGTCTCGTCAACGGCTCAGGCCAGAGCTATCCATATACTGCGCACATCGCCTATCCGACGCAATTCAGCAGTAGCAGCATCGCTTACAGGCTTCATCTAGCTGTAGTCGGCAGATTGGAGACAAATGGTCGGCCAAACTCCTTTCTCTGCGAAGTGATTAAGTCTGTATGGAAGACGAATGGTCATGGCCGCGACTGACGTTCGTTAAGCTAACCAGAGAGTTCTATTTACCCTTCCGTCCAACCCATTAAGAGCAACAGCTCCTTCCTCGGAGAAAAAGGGGCAAAGCATATTATCGAAGAAGGCCTTGACTTCAGATACAGACTTAAAAGGAGACTTTTTCCGCAACCACACAGCAATGCTCAAACGCATTAGGCTCTCTGCTTTTTGAATGCATCGTCTAAGATAGTCGGGTATCTAGTTGAGGTCGATCAAGACGTCTTCCAACGAAGGCTTAGACACGGAGGAGCCAGCGATGGAGAAACGGATGCTTTGCGTATCAAGTGCATCGGGAACTAGGGCGTTGTTATCAACATGATTGCCAGTGCAGTACTCATACGTCTTTCCCTCCAGTGTTTGTGGGTTAATGTATTAAATTGACGTGCAGACCATGGGTCGAGACTTGATAAATAGGAGTAGAGGAGCGCTGTAACGAAGAGGCTTGTCTGGAAGGGTACTGTATTATGCAGCAGAGAAGAATGTTTAAATAAGTAGCGACCCTCTTCCCGGTACGTAAGCCCCCTTAAACTTAAAAATAGCATTCAGGTCCGGCCATCTGTTGAGAGCATCCACAAGCTTGCCACAGATTGCCGTAACTTCATCAAGGATAAATCCAGTCCTATTAAGGCGGAGAAAAGCCCGGATGTCGTTTCCTTGCCTCCCGCGGAGCTCCCATGCTAGTGCTTGATGCCTCTTATTCTCGGGACTACACAGGGCCCGAATTTCAACGATCTCGACCTGGTAGTTCCGCCCTGGTTGCACTTGAAGCTTGTCGTAGACGAAGGAGAGGGGATCTCCCTCACTTTCACTCATAATTGTAGTGGGTACAGGGCGCTCAGATCCTGTCTCAAACCGAGGCAAGTCCAGGTCCTGAAGTGCTTCTCGCACTCTCTTTTCCCAGTGCCCTTCGTTGTCAAGTCTCTCTTCACCCGAACGGGGGTTCAAATATCTGTCGTTGTATTCGGTCCGGGGAAAAGGGACACCACCATCCACATCGGTGAGAGACTTGCGTTTGCGTAAAAACTCGGTGGACGGCGTAAGTAGGGCAGCGACAGGGAGAGTAGTTGGCTTTCCTGGGCGCAGAGGCGTGCGGGTCTTGGTCTAAGAGGGCAGTAATGCAATCAACTCATAGTCGTCGTCGGCCAGTTCTGGAACGAACTCGTCATCGTCGGCGTCGGCGCGAGGAATGTTCTTTCGCAGGCGAGGGGGCAGAGCATTCAGAGGAGCAGCTGTATTAATTGTGGTTAGTGGTGGACGGCTGACTTCCAAGGTAATTTGGGAATATACCACGCGGACGGCAAGTCATATCGGCGTTAAGCTGAGAGGGTGACAACGCAACCAACACAGTGTCATCGTGTGCCAGTTCTGGAACGGGCTCATCATCATTGCCAATGGCGCGAGGCTGGCTCTTACAAGAGCGTTGAGCTCGACGTGGACGCTTGGGTGGTGGTGGCGGTACTGATAATGGAGGTGATGGTGGCGATGGTGGTAGTTTCGACTCGGCATACTGGGAAGTGATCTTGCCGGAGGCTTTAACAGCAGCAGCGCGTTGCGGTCGGGAGGAGGCTATTGATATATAGATTAGTTGCTATTTCCGTGGAAGTTATATACGGTACTGCTTGTATAGTTTATTATATATAGGAAACCTTCTATATATAGCTCCATACCACAAAATCCCACATACATCCAGAAGGCGTGTAGAACATACCATAAGAATCCATACTATACAACAAGAATCCGAAAGAGGAGGAGGAGGAGGAGGATGGGGACGGACAAAGGCAACCGACCTCGGAGCCGTGCCCACAATTGAGAAAACCAACTATACGTAGCAGTTGTTGGTACAGGAAATCGCGTCCTCGAGGCGCAGTATTTGATTATGATGAAGGAGGGGAATATGCCAGGTTTTGTGGGTAAAGTACCAGGGCTGGTGGTATTTTAAGTCTGGGATAAAACTGGCAGGAGCATCCTGAACATAGCAGCTAGCCGACAGAGATTCGCCTGATGCCAGTAACTTTAAAGCTACAGACTTCTAAGTAACTAAACTATTTCCCAAGGATTTCCTAAGGATTTCCATCTTCTGGAAATAATATATTTCCCCCGCGATCCCGAGCACGGGTTGGAGCTCTGGATCGACTTGCTTCAAGAACGGTTCGGAGTACGACCCGAGATTGCTCTTCAAGCCTTCGGGAAGGAATCTTATCCCGCCAAACGTGATCCAGCCCATCCTCTACCTAAGTCGCCCCTTACGGAAGTCGGAGAACGGATACTGGCCAACGGAATTGGAAATGGCCGGACTGCTATGGATGTGCCGAAAAACTCGAACCATCCTGCACTCAACCAAGGGCAAACCAGTTGTTCACCGACCACGCCGCCGTGGCAGCTATCCTGCACATGATGTCAGCCTTTACGGAAAACAAAAGGACCAACGAACAACTGACAATTGCGGCACAATATCTCAGTCAGTTTCCCCTGGAAGTCAGACATATCCCAGGGAAATCCAACATTGTGCCGAACGCCTTATCCCGACTCCAAGGAAAAGAGACCGGAGTGAAACCAGGAGAAACAGGCGAGCTCGATCAGCCGTGGGAAGGAGAAAAGGACCGCATTCACTATATGACCGAAGCATCAGTAGAACCTAAGATATTGGCATAAATCGAAGCCGGATACCGAGAAGATAAGAAATGGCGAGCAATCCTAGAGCAGCTCGGGGACCGCAACGAGAAAATCGGTCCCCCGTTTATCCGAGTCCGGGGATTGCTGTATATAATCAAATCGGATGGGCGCCGCTGACTTTGCCTGCCTCGACAAGCTGCGGAACGACTGATCGCCGATACCCAGCTTCGTAAGTACTACCAGGGGGAAATGCGCATATGGTACGAACTGTCATCAAGCTTCGTTATCCATAAACTCCGCCGAAAGATCATGCCTGCCTGAAAGAATGCGATACGTGTCTGCGGAACCAGCCCGACCGGGGAAAGGCACCGGGAGAACTGATTCCCATCGCATACCCGCCGATACCGTTATAAACCATCGCAATGGACTTCGTTACCGGGTTGCCGACGATCCCATCTAACGGAGAACCTTGGAGCAACCCCGGACGACCTTACTTCGACAGCCTGCTGACGGTCACCTGCAAATTCTCGAAGATGTGTCTGCTGATCCCGGGAAACAAGAAATGGACGGCGTAAGACTGGGCGCGAGCGTTGGTAGCAGAGCTCCTCAGGTGTAACTGGGGGCTGCCCAAAAATATTATTTCCGACAGGGACCCGAGGTTCATTAGCGACTTCTGGAAGGAAATGTGGAAAGCCTTTAGAACTTCGCTACTTATGTCTACGGCATGGCATCTACAACCCGACGGGGAATCGGAATGGCGGAACCAGACCGTGGAAATTGCCCTGCGGTACTTCGTTAGCGATTACCCCGACACGCCTTAGACACGGGCCTTGATCCCCCTGCAATTCGCGCTAAATAACTCCTATGCCTCCGCTATTAAATAAGCACCCAGCGAGCTACTCACCGGTATGCGTATGGATGACGGACTGCGATACTTGGGAGAAGGAAGCAATATCCTCCCCCGGGATATCCTCCGGGAAGAAGCCCGTCTGGCCGTCGCGGAAGCCCAGGCAGCCATAAAACGCCAATACGACTCGAACCACCGACCCACCGAGTATAAACCAGGGGATTGGGTATGGTTGCGGCTTGGGAAAGGATATAACGTAGCCGACGACCGCGTCCCCAAGCTGAAGACATAACGCACCGGGCCCTACAAGATCCTCGAGCGAGTCGGACACCTGGCATACCGGTTGGATATGGCTAACAATCTGAACATTCACCCGGTAGTGTCGGTAGTGTACCTCAAGCTGGCTCAAGAACCGAAGGCACGGCCCGGACCGGTGCATGTCGAGGAGACCGGATCAACTCAATGGCGAGAGGATACGGGACACTGGGAAATCGAGAAAATCATCGACACCCGGAGGATCAAGCGAGGAAAACGGAAAACGACGGAGTACCTGGTCGTCTGGAAGGGATACCCGAGCAACTATAACCTCTGGCTGGAGGAGAGTGCTATCGCAGCGGATGACAAAATCGAGGAGTTTCATCGGAACCAGATCGATGTCAAGGCCCTGAAAAAGAACCCCCGGCAAGACGCAGGAGGGCCTGCGGAGTCTTCATCCGACGAGGGGGAGGACCCCAAGGAGCCAGCAAGCAAGGGCGGCAAGAACGACGGGCCTAAGACAGGGACAAGTCAGGAAACGGTCAAACGGAAGCCAGGTCGACCCAGGAAGATAACGACTCTCACCAGAAGCCCAGACTCCCAAGCGCCGGACATGCAGGCAGGAAAGCAGCAACCACCGACCAGTACGGACCTGATACTGGCCAAACGACCCACTGAGGAAGCCCGACTAAGGAGTGGAAGGAAAACCCAAAGGACGCGCCCGAGGCCACCCCAGCCGAGTCCTAAGGGAAGACAAACGCGACCAAGTGGTCGGGATAGAGCGAGGAGATGATGAGGCTGAGTGGCCAGGACGGAGGAATAGAACCATAACTGACCGGTGGAAGTCTACCTGGGAATGCCTACGGTCCGCGGAAGTTGTTGGAACTGTCTGTATTTATATTGTCCGGTATCGCGCAAAATATTTCGTCTACTTACTGGGTCCCTGAATGATTCCCTACGTCTTAAATATATTAAGGGCACTATACCTTCTTTTCTGCCCGGGGCACTTATTACGGATTTCCCGAAGTCTTACGCCGCAGAGGTCCAGGAGATCTTTTCCAAGAACCCGGAGGGTGAAGGAAAAATACATTGCCGCGCCCGACAAGATAGCGGAATTCCATCGCCGGGAGATCAATACCAAGGCACTGAAAGACGCTCCACGACGGGACGCAGGAGGGCCTGCGGACATTCCCGCCGCCGGAGGGGGGAGCCCCGAGGAAACGAGGCCCACGGAACCAGTATCCAACGCAAGCAAGGAAATCGTACTGGCGCCAAGGAAGGATCGGGACGCAACGAAGCGAGGACCAGGTCGACCTAGAAAGGAGACAAATATATCAGCACCTCAATAAGTAAGCTCCAGCAAGGAAATCGTGCTGGCGAGACAACCCGGGAAAGAACTGGAAGTATCAGCCCCTTAACAATCCGCACCTTAACAGACAGCACCTCAACCACAGAAACGAGGACGAGGACGGCCCAGAAAGCACCCCAGGCTGGAAGGTAAGGAAGGAGGACCGGCAGAAACCAGGAAGGAATAACGGGAAAGCCACCCACCAAGCAAGCATGGGATCCCCAACAATCCCGTCGAAGCCACTACATAAGAATAGTGGCCCGTCTGGCATCCAGTTCCTCTCTCTCTCTCCATTTCTCATCCCCTTTGGGGGCTGCTCTCAGCAGCCCCATCACCAACTCAATCAATCACCATGGGTAAAGCCCACGGATCTCTCGCCCATACCGGCAAGATCAAGTCTCAGACCCCAAAGGCCGTTCTCTCAAGCGCCTCAAGCACTCCCGACGATTCGCCAACATCACCCTGATCGGCGGCAAGCGGAAGATGAACCCCAATCCCGGCGCCGCCTAAACGATTGGATCCGCGCGGACAATCGGAACCAGGAGGTTGGCAAAACCGTTTACCGATGACGGGATCAAGAGAGTCCTCGGAAGAACTCCGGGAAATCCCAGGGAATTGTGCACCGGAATTCCCAGGGATGTTCTCGGGACAACGTCGGATCACCCACACAGCAACGTGACCCCACCAAAGTAAACAAGCCCGCGTCACAACATTCCCGCGGAATTCCTACACCTTCACCAGCTCAAGTCCGCGAGCCACCCATCCATCTCTCTGCCCACATCAACCACGAAGAATGCCCGACCGCGGGCCGCTCTACGTCCCTCCAAGCACCGAAGCGTATCCATCTCGGGATAAGAGCTTCCGCCAAGACTTTGCCGCCCCGCTCGCAAAGAACAACTCCCAACTGAATTACCCCGGGTACCGTCGAGCTCTGGAGTTGTACGGAAACGAATCCGTACTTCTGGGAGCACAAAAGGCCCATCATTTCCGCAGGTGGATCCGACAGAACGGGGCGCTCCACAGGTCCTACCGAGTACGAGCCGAGTCAGAAGGCTTCAACCCAGACCAAGGATTTGTCGAGCTCCTGGGTGACCAGGCGCTGTACCATTACTACCACCCAACCGACCCCCGCAACCGCACTTCAGCAACCTCAGCTACGTACCCGGCCGAACAAGAAATCCTGCCCCCGTCCACTCCTCTGCCAAACCGCAGAGTCACCAGCACGTCGCCATCCACCACCCGATCGACCAGGCGCCGCCTCGAGCCGATCATTGTCGAAGACTCCGACAGCGACAACATGGCGCCCTCGACCAACAACCGCGACAACCGTGGCCGGTTCACGACGGGGCTCCCCGAAGCCCTAACCCGCATGGACGGCCTTCGGGTGCCCAACGAGAACGACCTGGCAGGAACGTGCGTGGGAAGCGCTGAACTGTACTCCATTCTCGCCGAACTTTTGGAACGACAGTATGCCGCCAAGTCCACCGGGGAAGTCGATGCCCTTTAGGAAGAGGGCAGAGCCATCCTCAAGGCAGTCGGCGGCGCGGCGGGCGCACAAAAGTTCGTCGACGCAATGTACAAAAGATTTCCCAAGGACGCCGGACCGTCTACCCCTCGACTGGGATCGCACCTTCGCGGTGCCCCCCCGAACCGACCACGGATCGATGCACCGGTTCCTTTTGTCCTCCCCCGAGGAAATCACCGACATCACTCACGAACGGGAAGCGATCCTTTCGTCACGCCCGCGCCCGTCATGACTCCTGCCACCAAGCGGACCGCCGATCTACTGGAACGGCTCAACCAACGCTCCGCCAAGGCAGCCCGAACCAACGAGTCGCCAGCAGCCATCGGGCTCAAGGTGTCGCCCTCCATTCCGACCTACGCCTTCATCTCTACGATCACACTTGAAGGAGGAAAGGAACGGTGCTACGCCCTGGTGGCCGGGTACGAGTACATGGTCTTCCCCTCGCAGCAATGCGCCCTCGATTTCGCCGACTTCCACGGAGCCGTGCAAGAGGAAACCCACCAGGACGCTACCTTGGAGCAGACGGCGTTGTTCGCCGGCATCTCTGCCGGATTCGTCGTGAAGATGGACGGCCCCGTCGTCCTCCCCGACACCACCTCCGACACCTTCAACAAACTCGCCGAGGAAGTGAAGACGATCGAGGCATTCAGCGACTCGAGTGTGTGCTCCAAGCGCATGGCCGACGCGATTCAGCTCCACACCTCGACGCAGTGGAGCATCCGGGACTGCCCCGCGCCCGAGATCCAACGCGAAACCGTCAACGTCGCCGAGTACGGGGAGAGCATCCCCGTCGCCATCCTGCACACCCTCGACGGAAAGCCAGGGCCAATCGGCACCCATGGGAACGCCAATGCAGCCCGCCCCACGACCTACGGACTGATCCAAGCCAACGCTGAGAAACTACCTTGGGCGACCTGGGCCCAAAACCACCGCGGTGACGATGAGTAGGTGGAGATGGCCGGCAACGCTGGGCGGAGGACCAACGCGGGAAGGCCAAGTGGCCGATGGAAATGAGTGAACAAGGGGAAAAGCCGATGACGGAAGCCCGTCGGGAAAGCTGGAATGAGAAATGTCTGTTTCATTTGTAATTTGTTTTCATCAGGAGTTCATAGGGAAATCGTGTTCACCACGCCTTCATTTGCAAGCATGGTGCCAGGCGGCGACGCGACATCAACCTCCAGTCACGCGCCCGACGTTGGGGACTCGACTTCAGCCCGCGCCCAGCTGCACGACCGTTACCAGTCTCCAAGCCCGCAACGCACCGAGGGCAGTGCGCTTTCTTCCCTCCGGGGGGCAATTGTTACAGATTTCCCTGGATACCCAGCTGCGCAAGTCCCTGAGACTTGCCGGCGCATTTCCCGGCGGTAAGCCCGGGAAGTGCGGGGTAAGATACGCTCGGACTTCCCTGGGATTTCCGTAGGAAGTTGGGCAGTAATTTCCTTAGGAATTTCCTGGGAATTCCCAGGGAAATCTATAGTTAAATAACCAGGGATTTCCCTAGGTAGATAGAAAGAATTATATTATTTTTAAATTTTATTTATTTATTTATTTAGTATATATTATTTTATTTATATTTAGATTTATAGAATTTTTATAATTAATTTAAAAAAAAAATCTTTTAATTATTTAATTATAAAATAAAAAATTTATTATAATTTTATTTTATTATTTTAAAAAGCTTATTATTATTATTAAATTTATATTAATAATTTTATTATTAATTTTATTTAAATTTATATATTATATATTTATTTATTTTTTAATTTTAATTATTTTTAAATTATAAAAAAACTATTAAAAATTTTATATAAAATTATAATAATTAATATTATAACGTACATGATAAGCGAATGTCCCAGACAAGCGAATGTCCCAAAAATCCCTCAATCTCTCTTTCTTCCATTTGATCAATTAATTTACCACCACCAAACATGTCTCAATTTAATAAAGAGGCTAATATCCTTCTTGCTCTTCAAGCCCTTCAAAACAATCCATCATTAAGCATCCGACGCGCTGCATCAATCTACCATATCTGCAATAAAAGGCTAGGGCGCCGCCAGAAAGGCATGCAGTCTCGACGCGATATTATCCCTAAGTCACGCAAGCTATCCGATCTAGAGGAACAGATTATTGTTCAATTCATTCTCGACCTAGATTCGCGAGGGTTTCCCCCGCGACTGCGTGGTGTTGAAGAAATGGCTAACCGACTGCTCGCTGACCGCGACGCGTTACCTGTCGGCAAGCGCTGGGCTTCTAACTTCGTCAGGCGACAACTAGAGCTCAAGACGCGTTTTTTTCGTAAATACAACTATCAGAGGGCCAAATGCGAAGATCCAACCATTATTCGCAATTGGTTCCGGCTTGTGGAGAACACAATCGCGAAATATGGTATCGACCTAGCCGATATCTACAACTTTGATGAGACCGGCTTTATGATGGGCATAATTGCAAGCGGAATGGTCGTTACAGGTGCAGATAGGCGTGGAAACCCGAAATCAGTGCAGCCTGGAAATCGGGAATGGGTTACAGTCATTCAGGCGATTAATGCGGAAGGCTGGGCGATCCAGCCGTTTATCGTGGTTGCGGGCCAATATCACCTCGCCAGCTGGTACCGGGAAAGCAACCTCCCGGGCGATTGGGCTATTGCGACGACTCAAAATGGCTGGACCGACAATGAGACAGGTCTTGAGTGGCTCAAGCACTTTGACCGGCACACAAAGAATCGATCGACCGGTCGCTATCGTCTTCTGATCCTCGATGGGCACGAAAGTCACCACTCAGTCAACTTTGAGAAATATTGTGAACAGAACGATATTATTACACTTTGTATGCCACCTCATTCGTCTCATCTACTTCAGCCTCTTGATGTCGGGTGCTTTGGGCCGCTCAAAAAAGCCTACGGTCAAGAAATTGAGCAGTTGATCAGATGCTCTATAACCCACGTTTCAAAGACTGAGTTCTTTCCGGCCTTTTATGCCGCCCACCAAGCCGCCATGACGGAGAGCAATATCAAAGGGGGTTTTCGAGGGGCCGGACTTGCTCCTTTAGACTCAGAAAATGTCATATCAAAGCTTGATGTGCAGCTACAGACTCCAACACCGGTTGAGGAGGAGGTCAGCCTCCCTGACCCTTGGGTCTCGAAGACCCCAAAGACAGTCCTTGAGGCCAGCTCGCAGTCCGAATACCTCAAAAGACAGTTAGGAGGCATCAAAGCAGCTCTCCAACATCTATCCTTGAGGCGCTCGAGTCATTTTCTAAGGGAACAAAGGCAATAATGCATCAGATAGCATTATTGAAGTCTGAGAACCAGATCCTTCGACAGGCAAATGAGACCCTTAGTAAGCGGCGCAGAGCGAAAAGAACCCGCCTACAGAATAGAGGGAAGATGACTCTAGATGAGGGAAGGGATGAGATAGATCAGAGAGACGTTAATGCGCAGGTAGTGGCTGAATCATCGAGAAGTAGTGGTCGACGAAGGTCGGCGCCGCCGAGGGAAAGGCGCTGTGGAACATGTGGAAAGGCTGGTCATAATGCAAGGACCTGTCAGGCTATAATTGAGACCTCTGGAGAAGAGTATAGCGATTAGTTTTAATTGATTAATTATATTGTTGTGGTTTTATTGAGGTTTTAACTTTAGAGGTTAGGATTTTTGGGACATTCACTTGTTTGGGACATTCGCTTATTATATACGTTATTTTACTTTTTAGTATTTTTAGTTATTTTTTATTTTTAATATATTTTTATAAATTTTTATAATTATTTTAATAATATTATAATTACTTTTATTAATATAGCTTTTTAAATACTTTTATAATAGCTTTTTAAACTTCTATTAAAATTTTAATATTTAGGTTTTTTTTTTTAATTATATAACTTTTATATATTAATATATATATAAATACTAAGCTTAAGTTAATATTTACTTAATATTATAACTTTATATTTTCTAAAATTAATTAATTTTATAAATAAATATAATATAATATTAATAATTCCTTAATAAAAGAACCTAGTATTTAAATTTACTGCATTTTTATTATATATATATTATAGTTATTAAAGCTTAAATTTTAAATTTTAAGCTATTTTTTTCTTTTTTATTAAAATTCTATCTAACTTTTTTAACTCTAACCTTAATAAATACACTAAAAACTCTTATAACCTAACTTAATATCTTAAGATTCCTAATATCTATAATATCCTAAGTTATTTAAATCCCTCTTTTACTTTAAGTAGCTAATATCTATATTAATTTAATATAATATAATAACTTCTAGAATTAAGAGTTATATTTTTTACAGCTAATTTCTATAAGAAACTTTTAGCTCTTATTATTATTAGTATTTTTAATATTATTAGCTAAGTTATATAATATACCTATTTCTATCTAAATAAATATAATATTAATATTAGTAGCCTAACTTTTCTATAAATTAACTTTATTTCTATTATTAAAAAATAAGCTATATTTAAAAATAGCTAATATAATTTTTTAATTTCTATCTAGGTATTCTTAGTAATATAGTAAGAGATTTAAAAGGTTTCTTTCTTTAAGAAATTTTAAATAGTTATCTAGCTTATATCTTTTCTTTTTATCTTAAAGATTCTAATAAAATTCTATACTATATTAAAATCCAAATTTATATTTTTAATATATAGAAATATATATAATAAAAGCCTGATAATTAATAGTAGTTAATATAATAATAAGTTATTTAAATAAAATTTATTAAAATAAAATAAGTATTAAAGAAAAGTTAATCCCTTAATAATAAAAAATATCTTTTTTATATTTTATTACTTAAAATAAAATTACTATCTTAAGATTATTAACTATAAATAATAAGATTATTAACTATAAATAATAAGATTATTAATTATAAATAATAAGATTATTAACTATAAATAATAAAATTAAAATTAAAAAAGTTAAATAAAAGCTTTAAATAAAAACTAATAAATAATTTAATAGCAAGAAGAAATAGAAAATAACACCCAACTTATTAACTTACCCTAGAGGGAATATATAAAAAGTCATTATATAAATATCTTAGCCGGTTAGCCTAAAGCTATACCAAATTATATATATAAAATCGGATTAGTCTAAGACTTATATCTTCTAATAGGAAAGCATCTTATAAAATAGAATATCAGGTCGGTTGCAGAAAGGTTTACTAATAAGATATCAATAGGGCCTGCAGCAGTCTGATATCTAAGGGAGGTTAAAGATAGGAGTTAGATAGGGATTATAATAACGGTAAGAAGGCTTAAATAAATCTCTTAAAAATGAAGGCAATTAATTAATAGACTCTCTAGCAGCCTTAAGCTCTTCTAGCTTCTTTAACTTTTAGAAAGAATTTTTAATAAAAGGAAAAGTAATAATTTTTCTCTAGTAATAATATTAATCTTCTCTTTTAATTTTATTTAGGTTATTTTAGAGATATTTCTATTAGTTATTAGCTAGTTTAAGTATTTCTAACTACTTATTATAATATTTAGAATAAATATAGAATACTAACTTTTTAGTTTTTAAAAAAGGTAACTTAAAGAGAATTAATAGCTAAATACTTATATATTTTAATTATAGTAATATTAAATATCTAAAAAATAGGTATATATAGCCTCTTAAAGTATAAAAAGTTAATTTAAAAAATAGCTAGAAGTTAGTATAAAAACTTCTATAATAGCTAATATATTAACTATTTAGGTTAAATTTTACTTTAAGGCTTTTATTATACTTTATAGCTAAAAACCTACTAATATATATATATATTTAAACTTTTATACTAGAGCTAATCTTATTAGCAAAAAATTCATAATTAGTTAAGGCTTAAAATCTATTATAGTATACTACTTCTAACTTATAATTATAAATAAAATAACTCTTAAAATATACTATAACTAGCTAATATCTTTTATAATATAAAATTACTAAGGCTATATATAAT